TCACTGTCTACTTGCTCACATTTGCCACTTGAATGCCCTTCGCTCATGCTGGCCTTGGAGAGATCTTTTTGGAGCTTCTTACCATTCCTTTTCATTTTAATATCCCTTTAACACTGTAAGTTACCCAGAGAGCCCACTGGGCTATGGAGCGACATATAATAAATCAATGAATTGGTGTCATCATCAAACCTGGTCATTTCCCCACTCCACTATTTTTCTTTTTGTTCTGGGAAAAAGTCTGGAAAAATGCATCCATTAGTAGCTTAGTGGCTGAAATCCTGAAGACACTTAACAGTGAGTAAATCCTGTACATGCCACAGGGAAAACAAGCCACTGTGGCTTATTTCCTTCTCCATGATGATGTCAACAGACCCAATAAGACTTACACCTAAATAAGCATGTGTAGGATACCAGCTGGAGCGCCTACATTAAAATCTCCACCAGGACACCAGCTCACTAGGAAGCCATGGCTTGTATCCAGAGTCTGTCTAACTGAAGTCCTATGCATTTCTGTAGGTCCACCGAAGTATTGGATAAGCCTGCATACAGCTCCTTCTCTAGAACATGGGGATAAAGATGACTTAATGTAGCAAGACTGGCTTAGGAACTACTGACATTATCAGGTTGATTTATAGTCCGCTCTTCAGGATAAAAAACCCCATTCAGAAGAGATGACTTTTAAAGTATATAAACTCCATTGACAACATTCCAATGCATAAGTCATGAAAATGACTAATGAGGTATCACAAATGCGGTAGCAGCTGCAGTGGTGGCAGCAGCAGGGCTGAAACCACAGTTGAAAGCCCATGGTACTCAAATTAACTAGAAGTGCTAGCATATAAAAGTCTCGGAAATCCTCCTAAGGGCAGCAAAGAGGAAGCTGCTCTTCCTCAGGGAAGGCATTCCAAAGATGCAGGGCCATTGCAGAAAAGGCTGTGATGCTTTGGATGTTTGAAATGCATGATATAAATGTTAAGCGTGATTCTTATCCTCATTCCTTGACATATGCATCACTTTAGCCCACAGGTGTTTCATAAAGACATTTATCTATGGATTTAACATGCTTTCTGTGAAATGGTAAACGGAACTTGATCAAGCATTGCCTCTTGGCAGCAGTTCTCAAGGAATCTTCAATGAAGTGGATGCACAGGCAGGATTTGATCCAGTCAAGCTTCCAACATGTTTGTGAAGACCTCTTTCCAACCTTCTGAAGAAGTTTAGAGCAGGGAGCTCTTTGCATGTAGCACACTTGCCCTGGCAGAATCTGGGAGATTTATTTTGGAGAATAGTGGAACAGCCCAGCCCATCCAACCAGAGTCAGCAAAGGCACTTCTCTTCATAATCAGAAAGGGAATTTCCACAAGGAAATCATTCTGTAATTGCTTGCTGCAGCTAAAATGGAGAGTGCTAAAAGCTGGGATTAGATTCTCTAAGGTCTCACCAATAACATTAGTGGAAATGCAGGAACATTGCAGTATACCAAATAATAAATAAATTTCATACTCTGAAAATATGTTATTTATTTATTCATTCATGTTCAATATTCTTACAGTGCTCAAATTCAAGGCAAAGAGGTGAATAAATCAGACAAAAACTTATCTAAATAAGGAACCCCAAAGGTTCTGTCCATCTCCTCCTCCTCCTCCATTCTGGAAGCACTCCATACCTGGCAAAAGAGCCCAAGAAATAAATACATAATAGCAAATTGAAAAATGGTTATCATTGCAAAATACTTTCTTGTGTACTTTACACCCACCTGCCCATTCCTGAACGATATTTGGTGTTGAAGCGCCTCCATGGTTGTACCCAGACCTTGTTTCTATCGATTCTTTTTGTCACGGAAGCACAATAAAATAGATGTGGGGGAGAGAAAAGCGTGGGAAGTAAGTCTGTGTGTATCAGAAGCAAAGAAAGTGAGCTGCTTTGGAGGATTCTGAATAAAACAGGGATTAGCAGTGTTCCAACTTGCAGGATCTATCTACTGTTTTTCACTTGAGCATCACAATCCACAGACCGGAGCGGAGATCATACACATAGAATAGAGGAAGCTGCCTTTTTGTTTGCCGAACTAGGACTGAGTTCACAGCTCCATCACACAAAAATCCAATACCTAATTCATGGGGTGGGCGAGCCTTATTGTCATTCAGCCTTTGTGAGTCAGAAACCCTTGCAGTTCTACCACCATGAATTAGGCAGAGATCTATCCATAGTTCCAAGTCTGCTCACCCTGGTGCAAAGCACAAGAAGAAGATGCAATACTTACTGGCACAGTGCAAGATCATTGAGGGAAATCATCCTTGTTCTGAGAACATCACAATTTACCATGTGTGTTTGTATATATTCTGATCAAAATCCTCCTCTGCTAGCAGAGAAGACACCTCTAGATTAATTAGGACTTCCTTCTCTAGTCCAGAAAGAATGTTCATATCCAAAAGAGCGGGTCCCAAGTGCACAGAGCAATGGGAGTGGGAGGGTAGGGAGATAAAAGGAGGATCAAAATTGTCGAGACGGCATGGCTAGCGAAAGCAGCTTCTTTAGGAAGTAGGCTTTGGTTGCCACTGAAGGCAGCAACGGGAGAGAGAAAAGATTTGACCCATCACCTGTGCAGGCTGTTGCGGAACAGGCAGGAACTGGGAAAAATCTGGCCAGGGCGACTTTATATTTTATATAGATAGATAGATAGATAGATAGATAGATAGATAGATAGATAGATATATTTTATATCTGGCCAGGGTGACTTATTTTATATTGTTATTTATTTTATATTGTTATTTTTATATTGTTATTTTTGTATTTATTTCATGTTGTGAGCTGCCCCGAGGCTTCAGCGAATGGGGCGGCATAGAAATGTTTTAATAAATAAATAAAATAAAAAAGCACTAGTACTCCAGCACAATGTCCCATTCACGGGGGTCCCTGCATAGATCTTTTGACTTGTGCTGTATGTTCACGTATGTTGGGTGGTACAGAAACTAAATGGAGGGAGGGAGGGGAGCACCATTTGGATATTCTGCCCAATGTACTAAAATGTTTTGGACTGGTCCTAAACTTCATTGAAACAAACACACAGACTCTCTACCATCCCACTGGGGAAATGGGGAGATAGCAAAAAAAAAAAAAAAAAAAAAAACAACAAAACAACAACAACAACAACAACCCAAAGCATCCAGTCCTTGGGCTGCAGATATTCCAGATGCATCTGGAGGGGAACAATAGCATTGCTCTCAACTACAGGCTTCTATTTTCCTCCCATAATGCTTGCTTGCATACTTGCAAATGCAAAGGATTGTTACAAAGAACACATCGGAGCCAATGTAGTGTGTTGGCCTGGCCTGGCCTGGCCTGGGGACCCAGGAGATCTGGGCTCTCGTCTCCACTCAGCCATGAAGTTCACTGGGTGACTTTGGGCCAGTCATGAACCCAGCCCAACCTACTTCACAGGGTTGTTGTTGGGGGGATAAAATTGAGCAATGTAAGCTGCCCTGGGTTCTTCATAAGAGAGTTTGGATATAAATGCAGTGTGATAATAATGAGGATGATGTATTTCTAGTGCTCTCTTATCCAAAGGAAATGAACAGTGACCCTGGAATCCTCACCACTCCAGGGAAAACTGGGAATGCTGACTTGTATTTAAACATGCAAAAATGGGAGTCTGGCCCTAGCAGGTTTTTATTGTATGCTAATAGAGTTGCAGAATTCACTGATAGCAGTCAAGCCAGTTTTGCCAGGTGCCTGGAATCTACCCTAACCATGATAGTTATGTTAATTAAAAGTGAAAGATAACATCATGATAATTTCTAGTGTACCTTTAAAATGTCCCAAACCAAACAAAAACTCCCTCAGCAGCAATCCAATCATGTTCCCAGTCAAAGATCCTGAACATCAAGGAGTTAATGCCCGGATTTAAAGCTTTTTGCCTCAGGTTGTCTTTTCTTGGCAAAGGTTCTGTGCATGTAACAACGGCATGACCAGCACAACTGGGATAATTACATGTTTTCCAAGCAGAGATACAGGGCTTTGATTACTGTGATGCTTCATACTTGGGCTGCTGTTGACAATGGTCCAGAAAGTCGGTGGTCAAAAACAGAGCAGCAATATTAACTGGACTAGATAGTATCTTCAGATTATGCCAAAGTGTTGCCACCTGCAGGGTCATCCACCTGCAGGGTTTCCACAGGCCCAGTGCGTTAACCTTTGAAGCCCTACGTGACCTGAAGTGTTGCTTCCTTCCACACATTCCTAATTCGAGCTTCAGATCTTTTGTGATCCTTCTCTGAATGCCACTGCAATATAAGGAGGGATGGCTATAATATAAGGATGGCTGCTATATAAGGATGGTCAGGGCATTTCCAGTGGTGGCACCCTGGTTGTAAAATGCTTGTCTTCAGAGAAGCTCAGCTGGCAATGCTCATAAATGGTGCAGTCCTTTCAGTTCTTCCAGTTCTTAATCTTTAAACCTGCTACTGCTATTGTCTTATTTTTGTATTTGACTCAGAATCATAGTTTAGGGTTATATGGGCTCAGATGACTTCTTGCACTTTTTCCATGCTCCAGTGCATTTACTAATTGGTTGATTCATAGCTTCCTGTTCTGGATGGCAGGCAGGAACAAATAAGTAAGCAAAGTGAGGCATGAAGAGGACGAAGCCTTCTCAGGTGAGAGCTGGAATTCTGTTTGAACTAAAACAGTAAAAGGGAAACAACACCGACTGAATTTCCACATAGCTCTCTGCTAATTCAAGGCACAAAATCTGTCAGGGAAAAATCATTCTTCTAGATGGATCTTAGTGATAAACAGAAACTATTGTCTTTCCTTTTGAACTTAAAACACTTGCAACCAGCTGCTGATTTGTTTCTTACAAATCAGGATATTAATTAATGTTACTGACAAAGACATTACTTCATTCTGCTAAGTCCGAGTAATCGCAAGAACTTGAATAGTGCTTAAAAAGGTATTTACATAAAATGAATCCCTAAATAAAATACTGATCTGAGCTTAAGTAAATTCAAAGGTCTTTATTAGCATCATTTATGCACATGGATTTATGCACATGAATTCTGAGATATTACAAATGTAACTCTAATCTTGTGTTGTAATAGTCTTATTAAAATAAAAGGAGTTAACATGCTGGTACAAAAGCAGAGCTGCTTAATGAAGAGGTATTAAAACATGATTATGGTGATCAACTTTTTTCTTGGAATACTGATCTAGGATGCCTTTTTCTGCTTCGCCTTCTTCATCCATGGTACCGGAGCTTCCTTTGTCTGTTTTCAAAAGAGAAAAGTACGTGCAGTTGAGATAAGCAACAAGGCAGGCAACAACAGCCGTGCTACCTTGCCTAACACTTCTTCGGCAGCCACCGCTTTGGTTTATCTATCATAAAACCCTAACAATATAAAGCAAAACAAAGTCATTTAGTCACATAAAGATGAACACATCTATTTCAGTGCATATCTATCTATATACCCTGTATATCAAAATATGGGTTTCTAAGGATTATGCATAAGCTTCCACAAAAGTAGACCCAATAGCCAAGTAAGTGTCCATCCACAGACGGCATCTATACACCACCTGTTCAAATATCGAAAGTACTACGAGGCCTTCAATTCATTGCATTTTAGGGTTGTAATCCACCGCATGACACTGTTGTACTATCAGTCTTTTAGCTGTCAAAAGGGGGCAGAGAATCCATTTACGCTGAGCATGCATTAACTTCCAGGAAAGAGGCTGTTAATTTAAAAGCAGAGGCAGATCAGAGCAGATGAAAGAGTGTTCCAATACAAAGTTTATCTGCATAATAACCTCCTCCACAAAAGAGGCAATTGGCTGTGTTACAATTCCAGCAATTAGCCAACGCAGACAAGTCCTAATTAAAAAAGGCATCATGGCATCCAGCAGATGTGCAACTAGAGCTTTTGCTGAATGCGGCATAAACTGAGATCCATGGATGCTTCAGTTCAAATGCCAAAGCAGCAACCCCTGAACAGGTAAAATGGGACAATCCCATTTATTCCATTCCTGCTTAAGATCATATAGATAAGATGGAGGAGGAGAATGATGTAAGCTGCCTTGAGCCCTTTGTAGGAAAAAGGCAGGATATAAATCGAAAAATAAATAAACAAATAAATAATATTTTTAAAGTACGTGCACTAAGTATGCATAAACATGGACTGTGGGTTGATATAACTGATCGGTCTCAATAAGTGTCTAATGCTGAAGTAGACAATGAAATCATAAAGGGACAGGATCAAACCTAGATTATAAGTAGTGCTGCAACTGTAAGTATTCTCAGCTAGCTAGCCGGATAGTTGTAAGTAGCACGCAAAGCTGAGAATGACAAAAACTTATCACCAAAAGGTGAAAATTCTCTTTCAAAAATGCCACAAAAACATTTTTTACCAGCTTTTAAGTCTGGATTTCCCAACAGCATGAAGAAATGGATCAAAGTGTAACTGACTGGCTTTGTATGCCAATACATCTTTAACAGTTGTGACTGTGGGAGGAACCCTATCCATTTTACTCTGTCAAGAACTTAATGACATCCATCTAGACATGGGTTCTAGACAAGAAGATTCCAAAAATGACCAACATGGAAAGTCTGCTCTAAGCAAAAAAGACCAAAATGTAACACAGGTCAACAAATAGACCAGATAATATAAAGCAAGATCTGGGAAGCCAAGCCCATCTACTTGGCATGAGGCAGCCTGGAATCAGTTGCATTGAGATGGCATGATTAACATGAAGAGTGCAAACATTAAAACACACACAGCAAGAATTCAAAATGTACCTCTAAAACCTGTTTAAATCATGGAAATGAAGCACCAGGATACGGGCTGCCTCTGTGACTTAGGAGGATCTCAGCACGAATAGCTAAAAATGGCCTAGATTGCCGAATTTCCCTGGCTGGGCTGGAAGCACCCTTGATCCTTAAACATCTAACATAACAAGCTGAGTGGAGAATAAGGTGCCATGGCAGAAAGGCTGGAATCTTCAAAGTCAGGATACAGGACAGACGGAGTATCTCAAATGGGGATTGCTCCTTCACAGGCAAAATGCCCGGGATGCTGGATGGAAAACAAGGGACGATGCACAAAGCATGGACTCAAGAGAAACAGAAGCAGCTACGCTAACTATCCTGAATTCACCATCTTCCCTGCTTCTCTCTGGCTCACTGCCTGCTCCCAAGCGGCTTGCAAGTCCCAACTCACTGGAAGCCTGTGCTCCCCTCCCCTCCCCGATCCTATCACAGAGGGTGGGCGTCCTTCTTGACAGACAGCTCCTCAGGCACCCCCCCCCCACTAACCTGCTAGGAGATTCAATTTACATGCATATCTGCATGTGCATTTGCTCCATTCCTATAATTGCGTTTGCTTGCAGGAGGAGTGGGAAGAGGCAAAGAACTATGCCGAGCAACAAAGAGTTCATCTCTGCTCCAAGTTCTGCTTTCTCTCTGCACTTGCAGCAGCCTATCTCTGGGAGCATCTTCAGTCTGGATTTCTTGGTAACTGGCTCCGGAATTTGTTGGAGAAAGGTGTGTTGATCCCTGCTCTGATCCTGGGAGTCCACATGAATGTGCATGCTCACTGGCACAAACAGGAGGGGCAGCTCAAAAGGCTCCTTTTGTTTTGAAGGCTGCCTTCCTGCTGGAGATCTGAATGTGCGTTTGGGCTTTGGTCAATGCGATGGCACCCTGGGGGACACTGGGAAGAGATCCGGCCTCACAAGCTGCCCTTTTGTGAGCGTGGAACCAGCTGCAGCCCTTGCTGCACCAGCATGGGTGCTCTGACTTCAGCGAGAGCAAAGAGGAGGCCTGCTGGGGAGCTATGAGGGCAGGGGGCGTCTGCAGGATCCAGAGCTTTGCTATGGATCGTATCCCCAACTGAGCAGCAAAGCTACATCAACTTGGAGCCAGTGGCAGGAGATAGAAGGGGCCTAGATATGGGAACCAAAAAACACGTAAATGCATTTATCCTATGGAGGCATATATGCAATTTTCTCATGGAAATTGCAAGAAGTTTGCTTTGTCCGAAGTGGTCTCAATACAAAACAGGAGCTCAAGGGACATACCTCTCTTTCCATGACAATACTAATGGTTAACAGGCTCTTTAATGCTGGGGAGACCTAGCGTCTAACCCCAGGTCAGTCATGACATTCCCTGGAAAACCCCCAGTCAGTTCATCTCTCTCAGCCTAAGCTACCTCAAGGGATGAGGAGGAGATAAAGTGGGTGGATTCTGAGCTCCTTGGGGGAGGCAAGCTCTGAACATGTAACTCATAGAAACAAATGCATTTTTATCTTGCCCGTTCCAAAGCCAACACTGTATCTGTCCTCACTTGTCTGTCACAAAACTCACAGAAAGTTACTGCACTTACAAATAAAGTTGGCTTGGGTGCAAACACACCTCCTTCTTCATGTTCTAAAGGTAAATGGGCAGATGGACTGGAAATGGATTTTAAAGGACTTCTATTCTGTTTCTCCGGCAAGCTGTCTCCTTGGGGTTTGCCATGAAGACGCATCAACATGTGCTTCATTGCAGCAAGTTCCTGAAACACATCAAATCAAACCAAACCTTAAGGCGAACTGCTAGTGACAGAAGATGCATTTTCTGTTCACCACATTAAAACATGTAAATAGAGCCATTAGTGCAAAACAAGGACGATTATTTTCCTTTCTGGTCTACCTACTGATTTGAAACTACTAACTTAAAGGAACAAAAAAGGCACCTAAAAAGCCCATTGTTTATAAAAGGCTGCAAGAGAAAAAGATTTACTGAGCATTGCTAAAGATCCCACTAGCTCCTCTTCAGTAAGGTTTCTGTTTATTTTAAAACAATTTTGTTTAAAGCCTTCTTTTGAAAGGGAAGAGTAAGCTTGCACAATCCAATCTGCATGCTTTACAAAGGACATTCAATGGTTGGGATAAGAAACCATATATTACAAAGGGTGATATATATGTAAATTCACACACATACACACTTTCCTACTCCCAGGAAAAACAGGGAGGGGGGCACATTCAGGGGAAAAACACAATGCTGGGTTCATGATGAGCAACCCTGCCTGGTTACCAAGGGTCCTGGTTTTCAGGATGTCCCTGAAAATCAGATACAGGGAGGTAAGACCCCTCCTTCACTCAAGCGCGTTCTCTCTCCATCCTCCGGATGGCATCCCAGGAGACTCTGCAGGAAGGTGGCTTCTTCCTTTGACAGCTGCATCACAAGCCGAATTTGCCTTCCTGGGACTGTCAAGGAGTTTCTGGGGTGCACACAGGGCTCGTGTCCTGAAGCTCAGCAGAAGGACAGGGGGAGCCGGTCAGGCACGTGCCCTCACCTCCTGCTTCTGAGGGGGTCTTGGCACAGGAGGGGGGTGCCTGATCCATGCTCAGACAAACAGTGTGTGGGAACAGCTGCTGTGGAAAAGAGCAGCTCGGCCGAGCCCCCTGCCGCCCTCTTCCACACAGGCACTGAGAGAAGCCCATGCCGTGGAAGATTCAGCTGGGTGGCAGCGCCGTTCAGCCGATTCTCTCGCTGTGCTTCGCGTGCATGGCTGGGTGAAGCCCCACCTGTGAGAGAGGCGTCCCCAGCCTGCCCCCCATGCAAGAGTGCTTCTCATAGGTGGGAGAAAAGGGGGCAGGACCTCAAAGCTCCACCTCACAACATGTGTGTATTGACCACACATTTAAGCACAGAGTACAGATCATTCGTACTACCCTATTCCCAATTGCAATCTATGGGTATGAAAGCTGGACAGTGAAAAAAGCTGATGGGAAGGAAACTGGAGCATTCAAAGCATGGTGCTGCAGGACAGCTTGGAGAATGCCCTGGACAGACAGAAAGAGGAATGAGTCCTGGCTCAACTCAAGCCAAAGCTTTCCCTAGAAGCAAAACCAACAAAACTGAGGCTGCCATAGCTTGCACTCCCTATGAGAAAGCAAGACTCACTGGAGAAGACAATTCTGTTGGGAAAAGCCAGAGGCAGAAGACGAAAGGACCACATGCGAGATGGAGGGACTCCACCAAGGAAGCCAGCGCCTGGAACTTGGAAGGGCTGAGCGCAACTGTCATGGACAGTACATTTTGGAGGGTTTTTGTTCATAGGGCTGCCCTAGCTTGAAGCTGCCTTGACGGCAGGTAAGAGCAGCAGCAGCAGCAGCAATGGGTGGGTTCGTATGAGGCCACTCTACGAGGAACTCTCAGTGAGCCGGCTGGTTGCTGCGCCACCCATGAGCTTTCCATGGGTTACTTTCCCCCACCTAGTCCTCCAGCTGGCTCTACCACACATGCCAGGGTATTCTGCAGCAGAACCTGCTTGGTTCCCCCTTCCCCATTCAGCCCTTCCGTCCGTCCGTCCTTCCTTCCTTCCTTCCTTCCTTCCTTCCCTCCTTCCTTTCCACTTCTTAAAAAAATTCTGGAGATGCAGAAAGTACAATCGGGGTGGCATTTATTTTTTTCAACCCCTGAAAATTATACATTTTTAAAAACATGTTGTTGTTGCTGGTCCTACATAACTGCCTGCTTATGGCTGTAATATATGCAGCCTGCTTGGTCAATTCCCTTCCTGTTTCAGCTGGTCAAGGGTGCAGCTGAGTAAAGACACAGCCAGTTGCACCACTCTCATCAAGCCATGACCATCTGTATCCCTGCATAAGTCACTGCACTGGGCAAGTACCTTCCTTTCAATCTGGAGATCTTCTCAGTAGCTCAGAGCGAAATACGCTAAGCGTTGGCTCTCCTGAATCACTTTTCACGCTGAGGAAGTGCAAACTTTTGGGCATGAGAATGAAGCAGGCCTTGGATTTCCAGTTCCTGGGCTCCCTTATGAGAAGCAGTAACTTTCCCAGACTATTCAGGGATGCAGGCTATAGCCAGGGGTTCAGTCTGTCATTTCCCATCTCTGGTGGCAACATTCATCCGTTTTTCTAAGGTTTGATTCTTCAGAGAAACATAAGAAGATGACCTGGATTTGTCATGTAACGTTTGGCTTTAAAACGAAGATTCACAGTTAAATGTGAATGGGAAACAAGGTGCTGGCTGCAATTATAGACGGACATACTGCAACAGATGTCTTAATTCTGATCTGGGTTTTACAATGGTTTTACCCACTGCATCAGTTACAAGAAAGGAAATGCGCCCTGAAGGATGGAAGCATCTCATTCCTCCTCCTCTGCTGCTTATACGCAGTTCTCCAGTGCCACAGGATGTAAATTCTTCTGCCCAAACAGTAAAAATAGGCAGGCTTTGTTGTAGCAAGGATTACGTCTACTAAATTAATGCTCAATATTTCAGTTATGAGCTCCTCATGCCACCATCCCAAACCTTAAAGCACACCAAACCACTTCATCCACTGGCCGCATTCTTCTTATTGCTCAGTCATTTAATATTGTAACGATCTGCATAATTCCGCCATGTGCAGAGGCATGTCAAAACAGCTCAACTGCACAGCAGCTGTTTCAGAGGACTGCATAACTGATACCAACATGTTGCTGAAAGTTGTAGACTCTGCAAAGATGTTGCCAAAGCAATGCATAGACAAAATGTCTTGATGAAAATAACCTGGGCAATTATATTACAAGCACATACTTCATCTGCAAGGGACCAAGGTTGCTATCTGAAGCATACCTAGTACTTGGAAGCTACAACAGCCGCAGAATTTCCACACTCACTGGGTCTAGGATTGGGATACAAGCAGTGTCGGCAGATTAGTTCATGAACCACAACTTTGCTGCACCTTGTATTAATTGAAGAGATGTTGAAACTGGACTCCAAAAAGTATAACAGCAAACAATTCTCAGGCTGATGAACGTGTAGTTTCAGAGAAAACAGAGCAGACCTTTAATAGTTATTTGGCCATCATAGCACCTGAATGGAATTCCCAGTAGAGAAAAAATGACCTATTGGAGATTTAGCTTAAGCTTTTAGTAAACCAGCGTACACTTGTATAAGAGAGAAAGGTCTTACTTTCCACTACAGAATCCCAGGAACTATTTGAAAAAGTAAAAATGGTTTTCATGTGTTTTTTTAAATGCTCTTTTATAAAACATTTTAGATTGTAACATATTCCTTCACACATCATTTAGGAGCCCCAGGTTAACATGTAACAAGCCATACTTTAAAATTTAGAATGAACTATGGGATACCAAGCTAACAACCTTACTCCAGTTTGTCATTCAGTGCAATCCAAGTCAGTGTGTTAATGCTATTTTTAAAGCTCATCCCTAGGTGTCTTCCAGATGTGATAGAAGACCTCCTTTTAGATCAAAATGTACTTTTGATGACCAAGAATAGTAGGATAGGGAAAAAGAAGGTTAAACCTTTTTAACGAGCAGATTTGTTGAACAGATTTTTATCCACCTTATTTTATTCGAATCCCACCTTTTTTTTCCTTCCAAGAAACTCAAGATGGCTTATATAATTCTCCTCCTCCTCTCAATCTTACCTTTAAGAGGTGGGACAGAATCCCTAGGGGAAACATCTCTCAAATGCAAGGGTGAAATGTCAGCGAAAAAAATACAGTAAGGCAGGTTGCTCACCGGTGCCTGTAGTTCTTCCAGTGGCTGTCTGTGCACCACTCACATGGTCTCTGTGCCTGTTGGGAAACTCCCATAACTGAGACTTTTGTTTGCACTGTGTCGTCTGGTGGGGGGCCACCATTGCCACACAGTGGCGTGGTGTGAAAGGGTGCCCCCAGTGCCTTCGACGGAGAGACCTTCCTTGGAAGCTGCCCTCCCTCCCCATCCATGGGTTGCTCTCCCACTGTTGATACCAAGAGCACCTGCATCCAGTTCCCCATGTTCTGTCAGTGATAATTAGGAATCTGATTCATCCTTGTGCTCTTTGGTGGCCCCCCCACCAAACATCTCCACAGGAGACATTTAAATAACCTGGGTTATTTAGCTCAGGCTGGGGACAAATGAAACACATACAGCTGGGCTATATTTCAGTTGGTACTTCTCTATAATCTACATCTACATGAAACCGCTGGGAGAGGTCATCAGGAGGTGTGGGCTGCGGAATCATCAGTACGCTGATGATACCCAGCTCTACCTCTCGTTTTCCACCAATCCAGGTGAGGCAGTGGCTGTGCTGAACCGGTGCCTGGCCGAGGTAATGGGCTGGATGAGGGCCAATAAACTGAAGCTCAATCCAGACAAGACGGAGGTCCTGTTGGTTGGCGGATCGGGCTTCGGAGAGGGTGAAGTGACCCTTGCCCTGAACGGGGTTGCACTCCCTCCTAGGGACAAGGTCCACAGCTTGGGAGTGCTCCTCGACCCGGAGCTCTCACTGGAAGCTCAGGTAACAGCAGTGGCGAGGAGCGCTTTCCTCCAGCTTCGGCTGATTCATCAGCTGCGCCCCTACCTGGAGAACGACTGCCTGGCGACAGTGACACATGCACTGGTGACTTCCCGTCTTGACTTCTGTAACGCGCTCTACGTGGGGCTGCCCTTGAAGACGGTCCGGATACTTCAGTTGGTTCAAAATAGAGCTGCCAGGCTGTTGACGGGGACTGGGCGTTATGGTCACATGACTCCAGTTCTCCGTCAGCTTCAC